CGCAGTGATTATGTTGTACTTTAATTCTTGTCACATACAATCCAAACATTTTGCAATGTGTGCGCTTCCTCTCGTGCTGTATTCTTCCTTTCTCCAATAAATTGCTCGTGGCAATCCCATAAATTGCTCGTGGCAATCCTATTCGTGTCTTGGTGTTCTTACTTATTAAGTTTAGACTGGATATTACCTATTAAAGTTCATGAAGATGTATATTCGAAATATACATGTGGCAATCCTATATACATGTACACGTCGTAATCCTATAAATTGTATTACCGTCGAATGGTAATCGTCGAATATAAATTGCGTCGTGGCAATCCGTCGAATATATATGTCTTGGTGTATATACATTACTTATGCGGTGTAGTTTAGCCTGGATATTACCTATTAAAGTTCATGAAGATGTATAGTGCTACGAAAAACGAACGAAAAAGACTAACAAACAAAACAAAACAAAACCACAAAAATATCTTCGAATATATACATGTACACGTCGAATATATACATGTACACGTCGAATATATACATGTACACGTCGAATATATACATGTACACGTCGAATATATACATGTACACGTCGAATATATACATGTACACGTCGAATATATACATGTACACGTCGAAAAACCTATCGCAACACATATAAACATTTTACCCCCATATATTATATTTATTATTATTATCTGAAACATGTTTGTTTGTATGATTATTTTGACCTTCGTGCCCCTATCTTAACTCACTCACTCACTGACACTTCGGGCGCACAAACATTTGTTTTAAACATGCACGTGCTACGATCGAAGGCCAGTGTCACACTACGTTTAACCGTCATTAAGCAAATAAATAACTGTCCATAGATGGCAAGTTATTGGTATGCGGATCCGGAATCCTGGTATAAGTCTGAGGGCTATTGCAAGAGATGTTGGTTATCATCCATCGACTATCGGCCAGAAAACACCAGCTAACTAATAACGTTTAGCTGGTGATGGTGCCTTCTTCTTCACTTCCTCTTCCTGTTCTGAGGCATCTCACCTTCTCTGTCTCCACTAATATATCTTCGTTTCTCGGTTCTGGGCTGGGCTCACGGACAGGACTTGGGACCGGACTCTCTTCCAAGATGTCCACTAGCTAAACAGTTCAAAACACAGTCAACAAAGAAAGCCTCGATCCCCACAGAAGAAATCCCTTGCAAAGGGTACGAAAAACCAAACGTCGCTCACGTGCTTCTTCAAGAAGAAATGAAAGTGTGCATCACAACAACAACAAAACAAAAACAAAACAAACAAAAACCACCAATGACGTTAAGAGTCGTCGACCACGAGGGACAACAGAAGGAGAGGATACAGCCCTTCTCAGAATCACAAGACTTTCAAAACAGTGGCTTTCGCATCGTCATTTGTTCAACAGAACGGTCGCAGCACAAAGCCCGACGTCACTGGAAGTTGAGGTCATGAACTGGTCGGACTAATTCGTGCGTTCATTAGCGATGGCCGACTTGGTTGACACTATTATCGCATCCCAATTGCGTAGATCGATGCTCAAGATGTTCATAATTAGGTTTGGTGTTCCAGATTCGATTATTTACATACAGTTTGAATATTGCTGAGTGTGGCGTTAAACAACAAACTGATGTCCGAGCTCGCTTTGGTGCAGAAACACTGCACATGCACAAAGGAATATTTTGGATCAAATACGTACCGTTCATAGATGGTGTGGAGGGGTGCCTCTCACGTGACTGTAAACTTGACCATGTGACGATATGGCACAATCTGATTGGATACCTGAACATCACTGACATCCTAGACAGGGTTGTTGTACCCCATTGCGATGACCATCCTCTGAACACAAGGCCAGTCTTCTTTGTAAACAATGCTAGGCAACGTGCGTGTGCCGTTGGTGGTTCCTTACGGCAATAGTGAGTGAGTGACGAGTTTAGTCTTACGCCGCTTTTAGCAATATTTCAGCAGTAACACGGCGGGGGACACCGGAAATGGGCTTCACACATTGTACCCATGTAAGGAATCGAACCCGGGTCTTCGGCGCAACGAACGAACACTTTAACCACTAGGCCACACACACACACTCTAAACCACAAGTGTTCAAGCAGAACTGTGGACGCGTCCGTGCGTGTTCTGAATTGGAACACATAGGCCATATTTAGAACAGACGTGTTCTGTTTTCGAACATATGTGTTCAAAGTCTGTGAAGTAGGTGTTCTAATTTCAGAACACAATGTGTTATTTGAACACTGTGATTTCTGAAATGAAATGAATAAAATACTTTTGACATGATCATTAACCTGTTGAGATATTTTAAGACAATGCTGAACATTATACAAGCGGACATTTAAAAAAATGTTTTAAGGAAATTGATAATAACTTCTGTATTTTGACTTCAACTTTTCTTTCCAGAAGGAGAATAAAAATACATGTATTTTGCAAGAGGATAAAGAATCCTCAAAATGTTCTAAATAACTTGGTACAATCTGGTTATATATGGTTTACAATTGATAAACAACTGAATAAACAACATCTAAAGTAGACTATCAGAACGCATAGTGTTCCTTTACATTTGATAAAGTGAACACGTTAGGACGGTATCTGTTCTGTAACGTTTGATTTGATATCTGTTCGGACGGCGTGTGTTCTGATTAGAACAGCTGATGTTCTAACAAAGTGACGTCATGCGCAGTTGTCTCTTTCCCAACGCTACCGAAAGTCGTTTGGCGCCACAGGTCAAAATGAAAATGCTGCCTGTGAGTCAGCATATCGAAGACAAAACAAGACTCCATCAGGGTGGCAAATCCAACAAGACCGCAAAGTTAAACGGGTGAGTGGTACATTAAAATTCACGTGTTACATTATTTTATATCCTGTTATGTAAGGAAACTTATCATTAAGTAGGTGGTTACAAAGATTCTTCCACCATGTACAAACGTGAATTGCATATTCTTACAAAGTGGATCCTGTTTTGTGTTGACTAAAACCGTTGGATGTGCGTTTTTCGTATTTGTTTGTGGGTGAAATGAAACGGTATTTTCATTCAAAATTGTGTGTCAACTATAGTACTGTCGGAAATAGAAAAAAACTGTATTTTCTCATTTATCTCTACAATTTATGTAGTTGATATGTGAAAGTGTGAAATATCTGTTAAACTAAGTTCGGCCTAACTACAGTCTCGGTGGTAGAGAGATAGGAAACGGAGAAAAAGGACTTTACTGAGGGGAAATTAGTGCAGAAATGAGCAATGCGGGGTTTTTCTAAGTCCAAAAAGACTTATTTGGAACAGACCATGGCTTTATGCAAATTAGTGTGCGACGATATTGTATTACAAAGGACACTTTTTAAATGCCCAATTTGAAATTAGACGTAGATTCATTATAAACGATAGCTGACGTAAAAAATAATAACTTTTATGCCGAAACTATTAAGGATGTAGCTACCATGCAGTCTCACTGTCACTATAAAAAGAAACAGATAGGAGGGGCCGTCTCAAAAGCAAAACCTGGGGTCGGGCTTGGGGATAGAGATATCAGCTAAGATAAGATAATCCTTTAGGGCAATTATACTGGGGAGGTACACGGCACGTCATAACAATTTACAAATAATATCCAGTCCTGTCGATCTTCGGGTGGTCATGCCACCTATATACTACGATGCGTTTCTATGGTTTTCGGGTATCATACTCTTTTACATATCTCAACATAAACTATATGAAACTATATGAAAGAAAGACACGTAAGATGTTAATCAATAGATGAGACATAGTCAACACACATGAAAAAGCACAAAATATCTTTGAGATGACCCCTTGTGCCTGTAGGCAGCACGTGCATTTCATGCCAGGTGAGTCGACGGTCCGTCGTCATACCTGGCTGAGCGACCTAATTGCCATCTATAGTCTGATCTATTGTTTTCAGCAGCTATTCGTATTTTTTCTAAGTTTTGCCCGATTTTACGAGTAAACATGCTTTTCTGGATATCGTATTACGCATCCCACTGAACGCCCAGTTAGGCCGAAGTGGGTTATTTCGACATATGCTATTTGCAATTGTGTAAATTTTAGGGATACAGAGTAACAGCCTAAAAACAGTTTTTTTCTATTTCCGACAGTACTTTAGTGTTCTGAAATAAGGCTCAGAACACTCAAAGGGCGCTCTAAATCTGTTACAGCGTCCGAGGCGTCCTGGGGTGTTCTGGGGTGTTCTGGGGTGTTCTGAATTGAACACATACAGAACACACAAAGAGTGTTCTGAAATCTAGAACACGAGCGTTCTGTAAGTGGAACACTAGTGTTCTGACGACAGAACACATAGTGTCTAAATCAGAACACTCCGACAGCGTTCTAAATCTGTTACAGGAAGGGTGTTCTCATAGTGTTCAGAACTAGAACGCTTAGGTTTAGAGTGCGCGTGCGCGCATACACATACACACACACACACGCACACACACACACCGGAGATCTCCAGCATACCGTATTACCTATTCTAAACCCTCACAATGCCGTCTGATTTGTTGGGATATTATCTTAAATATAATTTTAGATTGTATGTCATGTATTCCTACTTCATTTTGTACTTGTAGAATACATTTAAGTACAAACTGATACACGTAGCTATTTAAAGATAGAACATGAGAACTAACCGCAGTGACATATTTTACGTCATGGACGAGTTAACAGTATTAGTATCAGTTCAGCCTGATTTTTCCTGTTTACATCACTCCAATGCAAACATATAATTCCTATTTTGCAGTATTAGATTATATGTTTCTCTCTTTTAACACATTAACCATCATTGGGGATATTTTATTTCATGGTGACACGCCCACTCACCAACACGTGCTAATGTTTACATGTTGTTGTTGCTACAAGGGGTCGTGAATGCAAGCAATTTGATTGGTTTGACGACTTCACTTTGCCGCCATCTTCTCTTCAAACGTGTAAGGCGTGCGCTAGGTAAGCTGGGCCCCGTCTCCCATATCGTAATATACTTTTGCGTTAGTGCAAGCTGACGAGTCGCAAAGGAAGCTAGGCACCAGTTTAGACACAACATGCCTTCAGTGAGAAAGGTGGAGGTTCGAGCGTTCGTTTGAAAGTCATGGGCTGGAAGAAAGGAGATGTCATTGTACGGGCAGACCCATACGCACACGTTCTCGGGCAGAAACATCGTGGGACAAGATGCGATAACTGCTTTACATGGTGCGACTGCGAGTTAAACATTTCCATGTAACTGATTTTCAAGAAACAGGATTCCCCGAGATTTCGATGTGCACATGAATGTCTTTTGAAAATGAAAACAAATTAATATTTGACTGACCTGCTTTTAGCGTAGTGCTATCTGTGTGTACAAACCAGACAAACCAAAATTTGTGTGTGTGTGTGTGTGTGTGTGTGTGTGTGTGTGTGTGTGTGTGTGTGTGTGTGTGTGTGTGTGTGTGTGTGTGTGTGTGTGTGTGTGTGTGTGTGTGTGTGTGTGTGTGTGAGAGAGAGAGAGACAGGGATTTTAAGGGGGGTGAGTGTCATCTTGTACATAAACATCACTTACTTTGTACATAAATTTTAGGGGGGAAGGGGGGATCATTCACATTGTACATGCATCTCCATAGAAATCATCATCACCCCCCTAGCCATAGATTATGAACGGTCCCAGCAGAAAAAGGCTATACAGCTGTCTGTCTTGCACATATTCCATGGCAGTTTCAGTATGTATCACAGGGGCTTATAAGTAGTCGCTGACCTGGTTGATGCGGGGTTCAATGCTCATTATGTCAGTCACTGGATTGTCTATTCCAGACTTAATTCTTTACAGACTGCCATCATATAGCTGTAGACCCGTGAAGGTCCGGGTTAGAATGAACCTTCAGTAACCCATGCTTGTCGTAAGAGGCGACTAACAGGATCAGGTGGTCAGGCTCGCTGGCTTGGTTGACACATGTCATCAATTCCGAATTGCGCAGATCGATGCTCATGCTGTTGATCACTAGATTGTCTGGTCCAGACTCGATTGTTTACAGACTGCCACCATATAGCTGGAACATTGCTGAACGCGGCGTAAAACTAAACTCGCTCACTCATATAGCTGTAATATTGCGTAGGGTGGTGATAAGCAACAAACATCTTTGATCTTGGCTTTCGTTAGTCTCCACTCCTGCCCTCCCATCAAATATAACAGTGGAGAACTATGAATGATGGACCTACACATACTCTGAAAGTATGAAATTTTGAGAGAAACAAAGGACTCAATTAAGATTGAAAGGGAGCCCTATTAAACGTTGAGAATCAGAACCTAAGGAAAATCTAGACTTGCTTCATTTATAGCTTTTGCTGGCTATCGATTGAGCTCATAGAAATTAATCATCATTAACTAAATATCGATTGATTATTGATAATATTAATGATCTTCATAACGATAATCAACGATGTTTTTTCAATCAACGATGTTTTAGATTATTGACCATTTTAGCCAGCCCTAGAATATGTGACTTTTAGAGAAAGAAACAATTCAGTTTAGATTGAAAAGGAGCCCAATTGAAGTTAGAGAATCAGAACCTAAGGGAAATCTAGACTTTTTTCATTTACAGCTTTTGTGGATCAGAGGTGAGGAGGTGAGGTGAAATTGGGTTTAACGTCGTGCTTGAAAATATTTCGCTCCTATGACGACGTGCATGCGTGTGTATGTGCGGCTGCTTGTACTAGCCCAGACTTAAGCTGGTTTTATAGTGCTAGCCCACTGAGATACCATGCCGCAGTGAAGCATGAATACCCCACTCAGACACATTATACTGACTCCGAGCCGACCAGTCCTTGTTGTACCCATTAATGGCGAGCGCCAGGCAGGGACCAACAAGTACCTTATTTTAACGTCTTTTTTTATGACGCGGTCGGGGATCGAACCCGCGACCTTCTGCTCTCCGGGCGGACGCTCTAACCACTACACCACGGAGGCGGTCTTGTGGATCAGAAAGGGTGGAAGGGAAAATTAGTTGTTGGGAAACCGAGACAGACAAAGTGAATGATGGTGGTGATGTTAGTCAATAAGATCTTTTGGTGACAGTTTTTAATAAGCAAAAATAACAGCAAAACAAGTAAAGCATTCCAGAATGTTTTTGTTAACTATATTAATAAGCATCCAATGATTTCTATCACCTGAAGCACGGCAGTTGTTCTCCTGTTTATCTGTTGGATTGATCAACAGATTTGTCAGTTAACATGGCTAATAACCAGCAGATTGCAATTATCAATCCAGAGGCCCAGATAAGCTGCGTATCTGGGTAAAATACGCATAGAAAATTTCCAATAACGCATTGAAAAATAATTGTTGCGTACCAATTACGCATTTAAAATGTTAGATACGCAAAAAAGTTTAAAACAAATGCGTACAGAATATATTTATAAAAATCGCTTTCGTAATGAAAAAGACATCGATTGCTATCAAGTTGTATTGTTAATATAGGACAAGTGTTGTACTGTCAGTATAGGATGAGTGATTTTTTATGAAATCAATTGTATTATATTTAAGTTGGTTTTGATTAGGTATGACATAAGGCAGAATATACCTGCTTAGTAAACTTACTCAATGACATAAAAATAACTGAAATACGCACATGTTTGAAAGCAGTGGGTAACGGAAAATGAAATACCCACTCAACATTCATAATACCCACTCCAAAAAAATACAGTGGGTACTAAATCTTATCTGGAGCTCTGACCAATCTTTTACGGGGAGCAGCCAGGTAACAGTTCTTGCTAATTTGTCATGGTGTCAAACATTGGTTTGCTTCTGTGTTCCAGTGGCAAGGTTCTGAAGAAATGCACAGCTTGTATGTTTCTGTACTACTGTTCCCGAGCCTGTCAGGTGGGTATTGTGTTCGAGGGGCACTGATGAAAACCAAACCTTTGTTACAAAACCTGTTGGGCTGACAGTAGTCGATACATTTTGACAGTGCAATCACTATTAGGGGGTAAGAAATTGGAGTTATGTCCCTTAGTGCATTGGCTACTCTGTTAGCTTTGCCTTATTAAATGTCATACAAACAAGGTTTTCATCTCTTAGCCCATTAGGTGTGTAATGATACAGTGAGGCTGCTATACATTACACATTCAATATTGGTTGATATAATTTGTATCATGATACAGTACTTGTATTTAAGAAGTGCATATTCTCTCACTTTTTGACGGTGAACCACGAACCGAAATCACTTTTCTTCCAATCTAAGATAGCAAAGATGTGGTATTGTAGGAATGAAACATATAAGCTTTGGGTCTCTGCTCAGATTCTGCTGTTTATAACCTGCCAGGAAATGCTAGAGAATCTGCATAAACTGGTTCTTGAAGACTTGCCGTTATTATTCACGTTTTACATGTATTTTACCGTATTTTGTCTAATAAGCATCTTAGCACTTATTTTTTCAACGGACTTCCAGACCCGGCGTTTATTAGAGCCTCTGCGCCTATTAAGCGCTTACTGGGTGTACTGTAATTAATTGTTAGTGAGCGTGATGTCAGTTAGGGACCATTACTAAATGAATCTATTTTTGGATCAACGGAGAATACTTTTGTAGAAAATGTACCCGGCGCTTATTAGAGACCCGGTGCTTATTAGAAGGCCAGCGTTTGTTAGAGGAAATACGGTACTTATGATGTAATGAATTGTATGTAATACAGTGCAGGACTTGTAAATATTGATGTATCAAGAGCCTCGTTTGTCTTTAGTTGCTACTGACAATTACTACAGATATGTTTACACTAAAACCATCATCACATATGAATTTATTAAGGAACTTGGGTGTTATTTATTGTTGCAGTGGGGTAGCAGTTGTAATTATATTGACAGACTGAACACACTAGATTTTTCTCAACAGAAGAAAGATTGGCCACTTCACAAAGATGAGTGTCCATGTCTGAAACGTGTGGCACCAAAAATCCCAACAGACAGTGTACGGTTGCTGCTCCGACTCCTTATAAGGCTTCAGGTAAGCCCCACATACACATTGCTGCCAGCGGGGCATCGAGGTAGCCACATGGGTACAATGTGGGAAGCCCATTTCTGGTATCCCTCACTGTGATATTGCTGGAATATTGCTCAAAGCAGCGTTAAAACCAAACTAACTCACTCATTGGTGCCTGCATGCAAGAAAGTTGAAAGCGCACAGTCTTCATAGGCAGATCTGGGGTGGTGGGGTAGCCCAGTGGTTAAAGCGTTGGCTCGTCATGCCGAAGACCCGGGATCGAATCCCCACATGGGTACAATTTGTGAAGCCCATTTCTGGTGTCCCCTGCGTGACGTTGCTGGAATATTGCTAAAAGCGGCGTAAAACCAAATTCAGTCAGTCAGTCATAGGCAGATCCAGAGTGGGGTCGGGTGTGTGTGGAGTGCACCCCTTTTATCCTGAAAGTATATTAAGAGACCAGTGAAACTCATTAAAATGGGTGAAAATGAACTGTGCATCCCCCTTCCTCAAAATACTGTATCCGCCCCTGGTCTTGTAGCACTTTTTTTAAGATAAAACATTCAGTATATCTTGATAAAATAATTCACAGGTATGGTATTTTGAATTTATTCTTATTTTTCCAGTTTTCAAGACAAATTTCAATAATGAGCCATTTCAAGTGGTCAAATGCATAGAATGATTGGTTACCTTTTATGTTAATTTCGTTGATCTCTGGATTGTCTGGTTCCGACTCAATCATTTACAGACCGCAGCCATATAGCTGGAATATTGCTGAGTGTGGTGTAAAGCTAAACTCACTCACTCACTTTGTTTATTTCATTGTTGTTGACTGATGATCATGCGTCATGAGTTTGTCTTACATTCAATATAACACAAGGCTTGTCGCAAGATGCGACTAGCGGGATCGGGTGGTCAGGCTCGCTGACTTGGTTGACACATGTCATCGTATCCTAATTGCTTAGGTTGGTGCTCATGCTGTTGATCACTGGATTGTCTGGTCAAGACTCAATTATTTACAGACGGCCGCCATATTGCTGGAATATTGCTGACTGCAGCATAAAACTGACCTCACTCACTCGTTCATTGATAGGGTGTTTCATGCTTGTTATGATTGCAGCGTGGAGACGGTCAGAAGACGGAGTGGGACAGTGCAAACTGGCGACCCTTTGTAGAGCTTGAAACGCGTGAGTTACTGAGACTGGAGACGTGGATGTCTATGTGTCTTTGGTATCACATTAAGCTATGTAGAGTTTCACCTCCTACAGGCCTACCAAAGAAATTTTTTTTATGGTTATAATTAGTCCATTTATATTACACTATATTCACCCCGACAGCATGGTAATAGAGCAGGATTATTATTACCCCGGATAACCCAAGTTGCCTGTGAGACGCTAGAAGGTTAATATGACTTGTCCCACCAGGTACCCATTTTCTGGTGGGTTCAAATCTAAAACTAATCAAGGTACTTTCTGTCGAGTTTGTCACCAATATTATCTAGTGTGTCTAGTTCATACTTCACGACCCTTTAAGATCCGGGTTAGAACTGCACTCACTCACACTTCACTCACTCACACTTCACTGTTGAGAAATGTAGAGAAGTTCTTGCTGTCTTTACAGTTTTGAGGGGTGATGTGGTAGTATGGTGGAGACCCGGGTTTGATTCCTCACATGGGTACAATGCCTATTTCTGGGGGCCCTTGTGGATATTGCTGGAATATTGGGAAAAGTGACGTAAAACCAGACGCGCTCACTTTGCAGTTTTGCATAAGAGTATAATTATTGATTATAGTTTTATTTTGTCATTTAGTCATGAATGGACATGATAGGATGGAAACATTTCATGATGGATGCATAAGCATGTTACTGTTTGGCAGCTTTTAGAGAAAAGTTCATGATTGTATAAAACAGCTTGTAATTTGTTCATGTGAACATGCATAATCATTGATCTTGTTTTTAACAATGCAGAAACATTTCTTTCTCAAATTACCTTTTTCATACTTCAGATTCTCGTGAAATCCTTCAAGATGAGAATAGAAGTGATCTGCTAGCCCAGGCAACGTTCACCTTGAGACAGATGGTTGGGGACTCGGTGTCTCTACCCGAGGCTGGAGAACTTGTAGATATGTTCGGGAGGGTCAGTACTTCAACAGAGCCAAATGCCCACAAAATACAATCCTTTAACTCTGCATGTTGAATGAATTTTGTATTTCTTGTCAAACTTTGCTGTAATATTTATGTCATGGATTGGTTGTGGGTGTTAAAAAGGAACATGGACCAGTGAAACCCCTGTTTGAATTGGTTTTCAACAACCCATGCTAGTTGTAAGAGGTGATTAACATGGGTCATGAGTGATCAGGTTCACTGACTTGGTTGACACATGTCATCATATCCCAATTGCGTAACTTGATGTTAATTAGAAGTGGGTATTGCAGAGAATGAGAATTTTCATATTATGATATATTGCGATCTGCAAGCATATATTGCGATATGTATTGCAATATATTGCAAGAAGTATTTTTAAACAAAAACTACGTTATAATGGAGTTAATGCTTGATTTATAAAGCATGAACACAACAAAATCACTAAGCTTGATTAAGCTTTAATAAACACTTTTAATCATGACAAAATGAATAATATTTGGCACAAATGAAACAAAGAAATATCCTAACATTTCGAGTGTTACGAAGTTTTCGAATGAAAGTCAAAATACTGGTTTTCGATCAGCGTATCGCAATACATATCGCTTTACATGTCTGAACCGTAAATACCGTAAACTGGTTATATTGGGCAGCCCTAATGTTAATGCTATTGATCACTGGATTGTCTGGTCCAGACTCAATTATTAACAGACAGGAACCATACAGCTGGAATATTGCTGAGTGTGGTGTTAAACGACAAACCAAATATCAAAAATGTTAAATAATGTTGACCTTTCAAAAGTCAGCATGTAAAACTTTTGGCCGGCTGTTATTACACTTATTTAAGCCATTTTTGTTGAATTGATATTGGTTGTTCAATTTCAGATGGTAATCAACACATTCTCAATCTGTGATGGTGAAATGCAGCCGATTGGGTCAGGAGTCTATCTCAGGTGTGTGAAAATAATAATTCCAGATACGATTTCTTCAGATCATTGAATCATATTCTTTGTTAGGTTATTTATTACTGAATCATCAGCAGAACATGAAGAAAATGTGTGAGTTGCTATTTTCAAATGTTAACGAGAAAACCACAGGCTAATATTAATCTCTGCAGGTACAACAGGTAACAGAATTTAGATTGGTGTTGTAACTCATTATTTGTACTATTGATGTCATGCAAGTTTCATATTTGTTGTCCCTGCCACGAATTGGGAGGGGGATATAGGTTTGAGCTCCGTCTGTCCATCTGTCATTGCTTCCGCCTGAATTTGGTATGTGTTTTCAGGACATAAATACATTGATGGAGTTTGAAAACGAAAACCGTGTTACAATTTGTTACAGAGTTGTGGCCCTTGTCATGCATTTCTTGAGTCTTAGTGCACGTTATCCCCAATGGGAACAGATCTTGTCAGTGACCGTTAAAGATAGGGAAACCAACTGTGGTATATGTTTTCAGGACATGAATGTTGTGGTGGAGTTAAAAACAGGAACCAAATAGGAATAGAACACTGGAAGGGATATTGATGACCATGTCTTCTTGTTTGTACTATTAGGGCTGCTAATATAACCGGGTTTACCGGTATTTACCGGTTCAGACATGAAAACGATAATGCATTGCGATACTGATCGAATACGGTATTTTGACATGCATTCGAAAACTTAGTGAGCACTCGGAAATCTTCGGATATTTCCGTTTTTTAATTGTTCTTTCCCTGTTTCATTAGTGCCAAATGTTACTTACATTTTATTTTTGTCATGATTAAAAGTTTTTATTAAAGGTTAATCAATCATAGTGATTTTGTTGTGTTTTTGCTTTATAATCAAGCATTAACTTCGATTATAAATAGATTTTGTTAAAAAATACTTCTTGCAATATATTGCAATACATATCGCAATATATGCTTCCACATCGCAATATATTGCAATATGAAAATTCTCTGCAATACCCACCCCTATGTACTATTCTTGTCATGTAAGTTTCATATCTTCATAGGCTAAGTTCATTATCTGCTCACTTACCTGGAGGGATATAGGCGGAGGGATATAGGTGGAGGGATATAGGCTGAGGGATATAGGGGAGGGATATAGGGGAGGGATATAGGCGGAGGGATATAGGTGGAGGGATATAGTGGAGGGATATAGGCGGAGGGATATAGTGGAGGGATATAGGCGGAGGGATATAGGGGAGGGATACAGGGGAGGGATACAGGCGGAGGGATATAGTGGAGGGATATAGGCTGGAGGGATATAGGCTGGATATAGGAGGATATAGGCGAGGAGGGATATAGGTGGAGGGATATAGGAGGGATATAGGTGGAGGGATATAGGGGAGGATACAGGGAGGGATATAGGGGGAGGGATATAGGCGGCGGAGGGATACAGGTCCAGGGATACAGGCCCAGGGATACAGGCGAGGGATATAGGCCGAGGGATATAGGCTGAGGCCTCCTTGGCAACAGTCAATATTGAGACAAAAATGCATAGTTAAATTTAACACAAGCAGACACTACCCTCATATTTTGCATTAAATACTCTTGAACTTCTCTTGTGAACAGAAAGGAATATATGGTCTATTATGTGTCATGACAATTATTATTGTGTTGACAGCCCCTCACTGTTGGACCACAGCTGTGTCCCTAATGCTGTTGCTGTGTTCATTGGAACGACCCTCTCGGTGAGGTGTCTGACGGATATACCTAGTGACCAGCCAACACAAGTACGTCTCACTGCTTCACAAGCATTTCATCACCCATGAAGATCCGGGTTAGAATTGGTCTTCAGCAACCCATGCTTGTCGTGAAGAGGCTTACTGGACGGTATCGGGTGGTCAGACCTCGCTGACTTGGTTGGACACATGTCATCGTGATCACAATTAAGTAGATCGATGCTCATGCGGTTGATCACTGGATTGGCTGGTCCAGACTCACTTATTTACAGACTGCTGCCATATAGCTGGAATACTGCTGAGTGCAGCATTAACAACACACAAAAATACACAACAACAATAATTATGGAGCTGACAGACTATCAATGATATCTGAATTCCAATAAATAAAGACAAAATGCAGGTTAATTTATTAGGGATCGCTCATTAGTTATGGTGTGGGGGTTGATGATTTTAAGGAGGGTCACCCATTTTGTTTGAGGGAGGTAATGGGGGTCATCAATTTTGTACACACATACTAGGGGTGTCGTCATTGACACGCAGGGGTGGGTGTACATACTTCTCCATAAAAATCATCATCCCCGTATCATCTTCATTTTGTCCTTTCCAGGTGCTCATCAGTTACATCGACCAGCTAGCGCCCTCTGGTGAGCGGAGGAAACAACTCGAGGAGCAGTACTACTTCACATGTCAGTGTCGAAGATGCACAGAAGCAGACATGGTAGGTGAAAATATGTCGGACCTCGATGATTGTGTGTCATTGTTTTAACACTTGCTTTCATGGCCCGGACTGTGAAACAATGCTTACTTTCATGGCCCGGACTGTGAAACAACGCTTACTTTCATGGCCGGACTGAAACAACGCTTACTTTCATGGCCCGGACTGAAACAACGCTTTCATGGCCCGACTTTCATGGCCCGGACTGTGAAACAACGCTTACTTTCATGGCCTGGACTGTGAAACAACGCTTACTTTCATGGCCCGGACTGTGAAACAATGCTTACTTTCATGGCCCGGCTGTGAAACAACACATACTTATGGCCGGACTGTGAAACAACGCTTACTTTCATGGCCCGGACTGAAACAACGCTTACTTTCATGGCGGACTGTGAAACAACGCTTACTTTCATGGTCGGACTGTCAAACAACGCTTACTTTCATGGCCTGGACTGAAACAACGCTTTACTTTCATGGCCTTGACTGAAACAACGCTTTACTTTCATGGCCTGGACTGAAACAACGCTTACTTTCATAGCCCGGACTGAAACAAGCGCTTACTTTCATGGCCCGGACTGTGAAACAACGCTTTACTTTCATGGCCCGACTGTGAAACAATGCTTACTTTCATGGCCCGGACTGTGAAACAACGCTTACTTTCATGGCCCGGACTGTGAAACAACGCTTACTTTCATGGCCGGGCTGTGAAACAATGCTTACTTTCATGGCCCGGACTGTGAATCAACGCTTACTTTCATGGCCCGACTGTGAAACAACGCTTACTTTCATGGCCTGGACTGAAACAACGCTTACTTTCATGGTGCGTGGACTGAAACAACGCTTACTTTCATGGCCTGGACTGAAACAAACGCTTACTTTCATGGCCTGGACTGAAACAAGGCTTACTTTCATGGCCTGGACTGTGAAACAATGCTTACTTTCATGGCCTGGACTGAAACAACGCATACTTTCATGGCCTGGACTGAAACAACGCATACTTTCATGGCCTGGACTGAAACAATGCTTACTTTCATAGCCTGGACTGAAACAACGCTTACTTTCATGGCCTGGACTGAAACAAGCGGCTTACTCACTTTGTTCACCTTGTTCTCCCTTGTCAACCTACTACAGCCAAGTATGATTTTACTAATGTATTCCATGAATCGAACCATATCACTTCATGAATTCAAATCATTATTCCTAATCACTCAAATTTATGATTTTTATGCCCCGCCCATATATGGCAGGGGTATATAGGTTACCCTCGGTGTCCGTTCGATCCGAAACAGGGAATGCATTCTATCCACTTCTCCACCATAACCGCTCTGTGGAATTCAATGAACTTATGCATTGGCTTTCTTGGGACTCTCTCATGGTGTGCATCTCATATTTTGTTTTTATTTTATTGTTTTTTTGGTAAGTTTAGAGACATTTGAACTTAGGTACATTTTGCTGAATTTCTCTATGATGATAGTGTAATAGGGGATGAAGTCTATCCACTTCTCCACAAAACTGCTCAACAGAATTGAATGAACTTCTACATGTCTTTTTGTAGGGACTCTAAAGGTGTGCATTTCATAATTTTATATGCAATTTCTTAATTTTGTCACTTTTACAGATGTTTGAACTTAGTTGAATCTCGTTCTATTCAGCCTGTTCGTTCCATCCAAGAGGGGTGTGTCGTTATCCACTTCTCCTCAAAAACTACTCTATGGAATTCATTTAGATTACACATGTGCTTTATAGGGACTCTAAAGGCGTGCATCTCATATTTTGATTTTGTATTTTATTTATTTTTCCAATTTTAATGCCGTTTGAACTTAGATAAATTTTGTTGAATTTCTCTCTGAATATAGTGTTATAGGGGATGAAGTCTATCCACTTCTCCACAAAAGCTGCTCAACAGAATTGATTGAGCTTCTACGTGTGTTTCATTGGGACTCTAAAGGTGTGCATCTCATACCTTGTTCATCCAATTTCTTAATTTTGTCACTTCTACAGATGTTTGAACTTAGTTGAATTTGGTTCTATTCATCCAGTTCGTCCCATACAACAGGGGTGTACTTTATCCACTTCTCCTCAAAACCACTGCAAAAAAAACTCTTTTTTAGCTTACATATGTCTTTTATAGAGACTCTAAAGGTGTGCATCTCATATTCAGGCAGACCAGTAGCTACACGTGTGAAAGAACACAAAACTTCAGTGGACAAATCAGATCTGAAATCTGCAGTTTCCCAACACATTATGAATAATCCCGATCATGAAATTGACTGGGAAACTGAAGTCCTCGCAAAAAAAATCATCAGTGACTGGCGGAAACGCAAGTTGATTGAAGCTATCTTCATCAAACGCACAAAGCCAGCAATAAACAGGGATCAGGGTGTCTACCTCCCAAATGCATGGTACATAAAACAATAAGACAATACCCTACCTCGTCACTGTTCCCATGTATAAAGCATGTATAAAGCATAATTTCTATGTATACACTGCTATTACTTTACATTCTATACATTTATAAATACGTCTCTGTACATTTCTAAATCAATCAACAATTTTGTATAAGTATCTGCACAGTTCTAAATTGATCCATTAATTTTGCAGTAAACGACATCTTATATATTCATAATAACATGTATTCTATTAACCATGTCATCTGTATCTATTGTATGTATTGCGTCGTCATAGCATTGTGACGTCATAAGCATTGTGACGTCCACGGCCAGAGTTAACAGTTACTGTTCAGTTTTACCTGATGATGGGGCCAGAACAAGCCCTGAAACGTTGTACTTTCGAGGAATAAAAAGAAGATGTAACCAAGAAAAAATCTCTATGTTCGTCTTTTTAGGATGTTGTCAAATGTTATATCAGGGGTGGAAATAACCCATTGCCCGGCCTTGAGAGTCCAGTGGGTTTTTGTCGGGCAAGCAAATTTGTATATCACACTGTACTGGTGTCCAGTTAAAAAATCAACAAGAAAACAGACAGTATAGTAGAAAATTTATCAGGGCAAGTGATTTTACATGTGCCACTGTACCGAATACACTAGCAATTTTAAACTTAATTCCACCCCTGTACATGTGTTGTGTTTGGGATTACACTTTTCAGTAATGTACATGTATACTCTTGCACTTTGGGGACTTAGTCCCATTCAGGGTTTGAGCCCACACTTCACAGGAGTAAAGCCTGGTTGCCAGGACACAAAGTCAGCCATCTAGCCCACTCAGCCAACGCTTTAACAAAAGTCTTACAACTGGTCGCCTGGATCACATACTTTGTGTTTCTCTCTGACAAGTGTAGACTGAAAGCTGTGTATAGGTACCTGAGTGTGTGACATTACTGACTTACTGATCCTAAGAGGCTGTGACATAAATACCAGCAAGTTTAAAGAATTGTTGCCTGACCTCAACATGTCTGCATAAAGTGGGTGGTGCCATAGTTTAGAGGTTAAGGTCATTACACAGAAGACCGGTTTGATTCCCCACATGGGTACAATGTGTGAAGCCCATTTCTGGTGTCCCTCCCCACATTGATATTCCTGGAATATTGCTAGAAACTGCATAAAACAATACTCCCAGACTTCTGTGTCCTTGACCTTGGGAGAACCTTCATGTCACCATCACAAGGGCAATCTCTTCCACAGCATATCAACTCAGGGTGCTGGGCCTCCTTTCACAAAGCACTAAGGTGATCGTAAAGTCACTAAGGTAACCTTAGTGCAATGTTAAAGAATGGGAGTTAAGGTTAACCTTAGTAAAGGTTGCTTCGTGAAAAGGAGCCCCACATTTGTAGCTCTTAGCAGTGCCAGAAGCTTGTGATCATGAGTTTGATTTGTTCCGTGATTTGTCAACATGGGTTTCACTGAAGTGGTTAAGAGGAAGCTGCCATGCTGTAGAATAACTGAAATACCATTCAAAGCGGCAAACGATGCAATGAGCTCATTGGTTGCTGCATTGTTCATTGTCGTGTAGTTAGATCCATTTAACATGTTGAATATCTTATTTATTTCTACTTGTTCAAAAACAGCTCTTGTGTTCCCAACAATTTTATAGTTTTCAATTTATTCAATATTTTATTATGCACAATAGTTGAAAATTTCCATGCTTGTGCGAATCATGTTTGTCGCGGTCTCTTCGATACTGCAGTACTATTGGAACAAATATCACTTTTCCAGACCTAGATGGAAGTTATGAATACACAATGTCTTTTAGAAGGTAGTCAGATATATAATGTGTAATATTTGGGATTACACCCAGCATGCACACAAAGTCAGTGATCCAACCCACTCGGCCACTGTGGCTTCCACAGGAAATAAAAGTCCGACAACTGGTAGTCTAGATCTCATACATCGTGAACAATTGCGTAGATTAATGCTCATTTGATCACAAGATTGTCTGGTCCAGACTTCGAGCCATTTAGCTGGAATATTGCTGAGTGCGGTGTTAAATAAGAAACAAACATACACTGTGATCTGGGTTCCTTTGTCTAGTATAAATATGCTTGTTTCCCAATAGAACTAAAATGTATATTTGACTTAGAAAGTGTATTCCCAATAAAACACATGGTCCATTTGCATCAAGTGATCTAATCACTAAGATTATAGGCACTTTGATTCTTTTATAATAGTCCAAGCTGTAAGATCACTTTGAGCAATGTGACACCGGGTCTGTCAGAGCCTGACATCTGGATATGGCTGTGAGACGAGGTGATACACCCTGATCTCGTTCATATCAGGCATGGAGACGGCTAGACAACCCTGACTACTATAGCTCAGACCTGTTGGTCGTTTCAGTCCCTGGTCTTTGTCAACAACCACACCCAGATATTGTCCAGTGCTGGAAAACAACAACACTCGGTCATTCCCGGAGTCTGCGATGAAAATGTTGCCAAAGATGTCAAAGCAGATAGCTTTGGGGTACCTTAGTCTGCCATCATTGGTACCATAGCTACCAAATTTGTACAGAAAAGTTCCATTCATGTCGAACACCTTGATGGCATGATTGCTTGAATCGAGACGAAGATTTTGCTGTACTGACTGACAGCAATGTATCCTGGGTTGTCAAATCGATCTTGTGTACAACCATGAGATCCAAACTGGCGTTTGAGGATTCCAGATGCAGTGATGATGCTGACGTTTTCGAAGATCATGTCGGTGAAGATAAAGAGGCCTGTATGAGAAGTGGCTAATCCAAAGGGAAATGTTGCCCCAGCAGGATTTAAAGTCAACTTTAGGTTGCCCCCCAAGTCATAAACCTTGATGGTTTTTGAAAGTTCGTCTGTGACAGCAAGGTCACCTGATGGTGTTTGAGTGACACATCTAGGTATGATCTCACCACTTCCAATGAATTCAATAGATTCCCCATCAATGTCAAACACTTGGAGTCGTCTGTTTCCGTTCTCTGCAACCACCAGTTTATCATCCGCGGTGAAACAAATGTTGTATGGAAGACACATATTTCCCATTGATCGCCCGTAGCTGCCAAACACACTCCTCAACTGGAGAGGTGTTTTGTAAGGGAGATCCAGGTTCAAATCTGGGGTTGCAGATGGTCCAGTTCTCAGTAGAAGGCCATGGTCATATGCCTCATCATCGTCCGACAAGTCCAAACGATCATCAGTATCAGCTACAAATCTTAGAGATGTTGGAATGAAGGACCTAGTATCAGGCTCTGCACCAGAGTTGCTGTCGCTGGTGTCGAGAGTTGTCTCTTGTGGGACCACAGTCCTGGATTCGTCCTTCACATCCACCTCCAACAGCTTCCCAAGCTTGAAGTGGCCAGGTCTGAACTTGACAAATGTCAGCAGGGTTTGTGAATTCAGGGGATAAGAGGGTTGTCGTATCTTCTCCAGCTCTTCGCTCAGAGTAGGATACTTAATGAGCAGTTCATGAATATCATCTGCACGAAGCAATGTCCCTATTTGCGACTGGAGAGTCTCACAGGATGACAACTTCTTTCGACACGTCTCCTTCATCTTGAAGACTTCACTGCATTTTGTGTCATAAATGGCTTCCAGTTCCTTCAGGAGCTGGCCTTCATCACCAAGGATACGGTTGATGAGTTTCCGGGATCTTTTTTTGATCTGCAGTCGTGACTCTTCAAACAGCCCCTTGAGTTTGCCCTCCAGACATGTAAGGTTGAACAGTGTCTCATGGGTGGACCAGATCTGTTCTCGTATGTTGGTCATGCTGTCGTGGAGCTCGGTGCGCTGGAGGGAGCTGGATGGGTTCAGATGGGCGATGTTGTGGAACTTGTGTTGGCCCATTACACAGATGACACACACCGGGAAGGTGCAGGTACTGCAAACATACTTGGCCGGTTCTTTGGGATGAGTGTGGCAGGATGGTCCGGCACCCTGACCATCCCCGGGGAGATCCAGCATAAAGTGATGACTCAGGACTGGAGTCACCCGGTGTTTCAGGGAACAGTCATTGCAGAAGTACTTCTGACAGTCGGCACAAAACTGTTGAGCGCTTCTGAAGTACTCCTCTGTACAACAGATACCACACAAGCCTTCTTTCTTGAGGTTGACAATCGTCTTGAGTGCGTCGGTGAACTGGATGAGTCTGAAGTCATGGGGAAAGGCATCCGTCCCACCAGGGGGCAGGTCTGTCGAAATACGGCAAGAGGGACAGTTGAATTTTCTTGGCCTGAACCTACTTACGCCAGTAGTGGTCCTGATGTGAGTGGTGAGACAGGATTCACAGAAGGAGTGGAAGCAAGGGAGGACACGAGGGTGTGCAACGGTGCCCAGACACACGGCACACTGCAGCAGTTCTTGTATAGGGTTCTGCATGATTCTACTGTTGCTATGGAAACCAACAGATTCTGTGATGCAGTCAGTTTCACTGACGTCTCATTTTAGGAATAATTGTTTTGAGTTTGTCAATACTTTTCAGTTAGAGAAACATATTTTTAAGTAAAAGCACTGTCACAGTGTGTTTAAAGTGTCAAAGTGTTCAAGGATGTATTCACAGATAAATCTATGGTACTCGTAGTGTTGTGTCCTTGGGAGTTATCATGTAACTCTGACTTGTGAGATTGTTCGGCAGTATCCGTATGTCACTCTGATATCTTGGATTATCTCAGATTGTCTCGGGACTTCACACATAGATACCAAGTCAGTGGTGGGAGGAATTCATATACAATTTCACATCCTCTGTTACGAAATCCACATGAGTTTTGTAAGTTCAGTTCACAATCAAAGTCTTCATCAACCTCAAGAATCCTCTTCAGAAGATAAACCGTCATGAATTTTCCGTCTCCCCAATATGCCACGTCAGAATTAGCACTCACCTTCTTCTACATCGCAGTCGCTTGTGTAAATTGTCACACTCTGAATTTCTGAAATTGCAACAGATGTTTGGTCGTACATTTCCTGACATGCATCCAGATATTGATTATGCACTGTAGGTTTTGTGTGCTATATGGCGTATATTGCACAGCTGGTGGCTATTGATTTCATATCACCTAAAGTGAACCTTTGCCCATATCACTAAGTCTACCAGTCCTCTATTGTTTGGGTGATTTATACAAATACAGCCCCACCTCCAGATATTAGTGGATGAATGGAACACTGTTATGTTGATGATGTGTAATTAGATGTGATGGAATCGGGGATGTTCAGATCCGGACAGGTGAAGCCAGCTATTCTTATGAAAATGGAACATTTAATTGGTTTTTTTTATCATATTTTTTTAATATACTAAAATTAAAGTTTGTTTCACACGCGGATTATTTTCACTACTTTAGCAGGTTCTGGTAAATAAATATCTTGTTTCATGTTCTTTTTTATTTATATTTGGGTCTGTACATTTTTGTTTGAATATTTGTTTATCTTTATTTATAATATATTTTCATCATGAAGAGAAACACAAAATAATATGCATGTCTCTGTTCGATATTATTAGTCTTGCACTTCTGCCTTCCTATTAATATATCATGATAAACATTTTAAAATGTCTGGCTCTGATCTAATGCAGATGTCCAGAGCAGTTAATCTCACAGCTTTGATGAAAGTGCACTCTGTTGACCAATGGCACCTTAGAACCTTATGTATCAGACATGAAATTATCGTTACTTAATTTTGTCCATAATGTCATGTATTATTACTCTCCTGTGGAAGATACTGCAGTGTAATATTTTTACATAAATATCACACTAGTGTAATACCGCTAGACGTATGACGTATGATGGTTTACAGTTATGACATCACAATGCTAATACATCTGTCACAATGGTATTAGACCTTGCTTGATTCGCGGAAAGCTGCAAGTCATCACACTGTTAGTAGGCAGTTTCTATCAGTTTATGTTGGAGAGTAATAAACAGAATACTAAACTCGCTTCCGTGAAATACCATTTTTATTAAACTCGTGAAAGATAACAAATCATTAACTCGTTTAATAAAAATGGTATTACACAGAAGGTCGTTTAGAATCCTCTATTTATCATTTAATCTAGCAAGAATAATCGTAAAAAGATCTTTTTCAATGTACATGTATTGTTGTATATCATACAACCCTGAGGAAGGTCAAATCATGCTTGTATAACTTTTTCTACATTCTTTGAATAACCATCGATTATCAGGGTTATCCTGAGCCAGAATGTGACCAGTCAAATAACAGTTATCTTGCTGCTTCATTGGAATTCATTGCTGTATTTTGTGTTAGTTTTCATCCTTGTTACAATATCATTGCATAGACAGCCATTTGTTCCTTACAAACACTTCCTAACGTTGTTTACATATACAGGTGCATTGTGAAATATTGCACATTACCGACATACATGTTGTAAATACTGGATTACATTATGCAAATTTCAGGAGCAGGAACGAGGAAAGAGATTATCTGCCTGTACTCATAAGAAACAAACGACAGTCCAGTCCATGACTATCTGGCCATAACTAAAGTTTTTGTTGCAAATGGTTTGTTGGGAATAGAGTACTAATATATATAGACAACATTGTCAAATATCTATCTGCAACAGGCTTGCTGGATGGGATTTACTTATTTTTGTGTGGGAATATGATTTGCATTGAAATTTTTGTTATATTTATGAAATTATTGTTTCATGAAATGGAATACCACAGGAATATGGAGGTTATGGAGCTAGCTGTTGGCAATACCTGACCCGGCTCTGTTTGGTTGATACTGATCATTTGAAAAAGCCCTCGTGATGAATCCTCTATTTATTAAAAATATTGTTTACTGATAATTATTTTGTGTAAAAGAAACTTACGTGAAAAAGGCCACAATTGGATTTGTTGTGTTTATGTCACATGTTCAAAAACTTTGACTGAATATAATGATTGTATGTCGATATATTGATTATTATGTTTTATTATTTAAACATAAGGTCTTGATTATTGATTAATGTGCTTATGTTTTTCTCCAACATGGAGAGCCAATTAAACATGTTTTAAAGAAATGATTACAAAACCGTGGTAATCATGATCATAGAGAATCATGTTGCCCCAAATATTTACTATGTCCGCCATATAGCTGGAATATTGCTGAGTGCAGCATAAAACTAAACTCAAATTTACGATGAGGATTATTTTAGATATCTATTGTACACAGCTGACTTTTTAATCTGTACTGTTTGTCATGTCTAGACAAACGCAAGTATATCTGATGACAGTGTGTGTCATATGCCTGATCGGCCTTGAGTTGTGAGGCTGAGGCGTGATGGGACTCCTCACACGTGTCTGTCGACTGTGTGTGATTTGTGTGATTATATCTACACACAGCTGGTGACCTCAATACATGTTGTAATGTCTTTATCTTGGCTTCACACAACCACATCATGTAGCAGCAGTAGTAACTGTCCACATGGTCAGTGTTTGTCATGGTCGTATATCTCAACGTTAGTCAACAGTTGGAGATATTTGAAATGTGTGAAAAGTTAAATATGATCTCTTTGATTTTATTTCACCATAGCTTCTGATTTAAATAAGGGTACCGGATAGGTTTTTGAAATGTTTCATATTTTTCTTTCAATTTTTGGTTCAAATGACGTCACTGTTTTTGATAATTGATCCTTTGTTTTAGGGATCTTCTTAGTAGGGCTGAAATGAATACACTATGAAGCGAATATGATATGTTTTATGAATGTTAAATACAAATATTTATTCATTAGTACTTTATTCAATATCAAGGAATTAGAAAAAAACCCATGTCATTTGTTTGCTTAGGTTGAAAAATTTCAATAATTTCTATGAATCAAAACAACAATACATCGCAAACAATGCAGTTGTAGCCTAATGACAGTGCCGTAAAAAGGCCTTGGCAAAATGACACAAATTGCGCTACTGCATGGCTTGGATATATTCCATTTTGCGTATCTCACTTAGATAAACAATATTCTAGTTCCAAGCGTAAACACTCTTAAGCATATTTGTAAACATTCAATTATATTGACCACGCATAATGAATTGAATTCATGATGGGATACAGTTCCAGAGCTCCAAATAAGATTTAGCGGGTACTGTATCCACTGAATTTTTTGGGAGTGGGTATTATGAATGTTGAGTGGGTATTTCATTTTCCTTTACCCACTGCTTTCAAATATTTGCGTATTTCAGTCATTTTACTCACCTAAGTATTATGTCATTGAGTAAGTTTACTAAGCAGGTATGTTCTGCCTTATGTCATACCTAATCAAAACCAACTTTAATATAATGGAAATGATTTCATAAAAAATCACTCATCCTATGCTAACAGTACAACACTTGTCCTATACTAACAGTACAACTTGAAAGCAATCGACGTCTTTTTCATTACGCAAGCGATTTTTATAAATATATTCCGTACGCATTTGTTTTAAACTTTTTGCGTATCTAACATTTTAAATGCGGAATTGGTACGCAACAATTATTTTTCAATGCGTAATTGGAAGTGTTCTATGCGTATTTTACCCAGATACGCAGCTTATCTGGACCTCTGCAGTTCAATTCACCGAATACTTGAATGAATCATGATAGCACCGCTGCATAGACATACATATATCTATGACAGAGTATGTTTTGACTTGATCACGCTGTGTTGACTCATTTCACCACCTGTTGCTAGTCAGGAGTGTAATGGGCTTCCAACAGACAAAACATCTGGTCATGTTTACAGTTTATTATAGTAACTTGACCAAATGAAATAAAAAAAAAAATGACCAATTTGTTTTGTTATGAAGATAAGTAATATTTAGGTTTGGACAGACGACTTGTATTTCTTAAACAACATCCCCTGGGGATTCTGACTCAGAATTTATCACTAGTATGCTTTGAGGTTGTAAGAGGAGACCGGTTGATTTGTAAGGTCAGACTTGTTTGCTCACAATATTGACCTTTGGATTGTCTGGTCCAGACTTGATTATTTACAGACCCCCGTCATATAGCTGGGAGATTGCTGAGTGTGGTGTTACACAATGAACAAGCTTCAGGTTCAGAAAGAGAAAGAAGCTGATGGGTTGGGATGAATTTCCACTATAACCAAATACATGTATGGTGTTCTAATAATTGAAATATGAATTGAAACTTGTGCTCATAGTCAGCTGAATCTACAGAATGACTGAAAATTGTCTTTTTGTACTCCTGGGTGATATTTTGTCATACACTACAGTATATAATGCAATGTTAAAAATGCCAGCTGAATATATGAAAATATATCCAATAGACTGACTATAGTCCTTGCTCGTACAATTCAGAAAACTATATTGCCTCTTATCCATGGGTGAATGGATAGAGTGAATGTTAGGTTAAAAATAAAACTTGGAACATAGGCCTTTTATCCTATTTTCAATTTACCTGTTTTAGCCTGGGTCAGTGTTTGACCATGTGTGTAGTGATAATATGGCTGTCTTTGTATGACACGTTCATTTCACTGCAGCATGTGAGAGGCTGGATTATTCAAGCACCTGTTGCTTGTCTATTGCATTCAGTCAGCTGTGACAGGTGACACAGCGACAGGTTGCATGTTCATTGCAAGGCCTGATCCTCTCATTTTGTGTATTCAATCCATAAGTGGGTTGTAATGTATCAAATTATGTTACATTGTGTTACTGTGTGTAAGGTATTGTGTGTTTATTTCCTCTCCCTGTTTGTAGATGTCATATTTGTGACTGAAACTGATCAGTGGGTCACTGATGCATCAGCTCATAATACAGTACTGTTATGTTCACCAAGTATTATCATTTGACAAAGTACAGTGCACTCTGTCTAATTCGGACCAGCTTGGGACCGACTAAAAAAGTCCGAATTATACAGTAGTCCGAAGTACACAGATTTTAATGGAGTTATCTCCCTATTATCAGCAGAATTAAAATTATAAACTATATTTCGCAATGTTATTGAAAACAACGATTCTCGGACACCTGCTTCGGCATCGGGTCCACAATAACATTGTCAAAGAGCAAAGTAACTATGTTTCGAGGAA